GAACCACTGTAGGTTCTGCTGTAGGTACTGCTGTAAGAACCACTGTAGGAACCACTGTAGGTTCTGCTGTAGGTTCTGCTGTAGGTACTGCTGTAAGAACCACTGTAGGAACCACTGTAGCTTCTGCTGTAGGAACCACTGTAGGTTCTGCTGTAGGAACCACTGTAGGTTCTGCTGTAGGTACTGCTGTAAGAACCACTGTAGGAACCACTGTAGGTTCTGCTGTAGGAACCACTGTAGCTTCTGCTGTAGGTTCTGCTGTAGGTACTGCTGTAAGAACCACTGTAGGAACCACTGTAGCTTCTGCTGTAGGAACCACTGTAGGTTCTGCTGTAGGAACCACTGTAGGTTCTGCTGTAGGTTCTGCTGTAAGAACCACTGTAGGAACCACTGTAGCTTCTGCTGTAGGAACCACTGTAGGTTCTGCTGTAGGTACTGCTGTAAGAACCACTGTAGGAACCACTGTAGCTTCTGCTGTAGGAACCACTGTAGGTTCTGCTGTAGGTTCTGCTGTAGGTACTGCTGTAAGAACCACTGTAGGAACCACTGTAGCTTCTGCTGTAGGAACCACTGTAGGTTCTGCTGTAGGAACCACTGTAGGTTCTGCTGTAGGTACTGCTGTAAGAACCACTGTAGGAACCACTGTAGCTTCTGCTGTAGGAACCACTGTAGGTTCTGCTGTAGGAACCACTGTAGGTTCTGCTGTAGGTTCTGCTGTAAGAACCACTGTAGGAACCACTGTAGGTTCTGCTGTAGGAACCACTGTAGGTTCTGCTGTAGGAACCACTGTAGGTTCTGCTGTAGGTTCTGCTGTAAGAACCACTGTAGGAACCACTGTAGCTTCTGCTGTAGGAACCACTGTAGGTTCTGCTGTAGGTACTGCTGTAAGAACCACTGTAGGAACCACTGTAGCTTCTGCTGCAGGAACCACTGTAGGTTCTGCTGTAGGTTCTGCTGTAGGTACTGCTGTAAGAACCACTGTAGGAACCACTGTAGCTTCTGCTGTAGGAACCACTGTAGGTTCTGCTGTAGGAACCACTGTAGGTTCTGCTGTAGGTACTGCTGTAAGAACCACTGTAGGAACCACTGTAGGTTCTGCTGTAGGAACCACTGTAGGAACCACTGTAGGTTCTGCTGTAGGAACCACTGTAGGTTCTGCTGTAAGAACCCCAAACAACGCCATCCATTCACTAATTCATTACATTCAGACCTAAAGCACTTGTTTTTAGTGGTAGGGGAAACCGGAACACCTGGAGGAAACCTACGCAGACACAGGGAGAACATGCAAACTCCTCTCAGAAAGGCCAAATGTCTTTTATCTTGGATTAAAAACAGTAAGAAACAGACCTGGGGTATATTTTTTGTCAATAATATCCAGTGATATGAATCTATTCTGTTGCTGTGTTCTCTGCATCCTACTGTTCTGTAACTGTTGCTGCAACACTGACATTTCCCATCTGAGCACATCCTCGCTGCACCGTCCTGACTTTGCTTCACAGTGTGTTCCCTTTAGACGATGGTTTGACCTTGAATCCTGCTCCGTGTGAGCGCACTACCACCCCCCGCTGAGCCCTTCACACTAATCCTCTGTCTCTGCTTCTCCTCAGGCCACGCCCATCTCCAGCTTTTCCTTATTTTTCTTCCACGTCTGAATATTTCTCTCCACAAAGACCGAGAGAAGTGTCCGTGCTGCCGCCGCCGCCGCTGCTGCTGCTTCCGGTCCTGCAAAAACCCAGGCCTCGCTTCAAGACCACGAGGAGAACTTTAGAGGGGGAAAAATATAGTAAATATACACAAGCTGTGGAGGTGGAAGTCGTGTGTATATTAGCGAGCTAGCTAGCGGCACCGTTCACGTCCATTCACTTTTACATAGACGCACACTTTGTCCCCGGCGTGCGTAGTCCTCCATGTTTGTGTAGATCGTCATTTATAGGAGGAGTGTCACGTGGTTAAACTTTTGATGAAAAAAAAAGAATACGGTGAAAAATAAACGAAAAGCCATCGTGGAACGGTTGGTCTGAAAACCCGAGGACCAGCCTCCGTCACGTTCACACCGAGACTCTCAAACAGAAAAAAATGTCGGAGATCTTTTTTTCTTTCGTGGTAGTGCTTTAGACGGACTGTACCAACTCACGGTGGTGGGAACTCCCACGGCCATTTTTTTGTTTTCTTAAAGAATGGTCAATATTGATGTCAAAGAAGTCGTGGAGAAACCGAGGACTGAGCATGTTAACCTAGAATCCCGTCCTTCTGTCACGCATCCATCTGTTGGTTTTTCAAGATTTTTAGGGAGGTTTCGTTCTTTCTCGAGAGACTTTCCAACGTTCCGGACTCTTGGAATAACCTACACGGAAAGAACTGGGGCTCAGAAAAGGACGCCATTGTTTTATTTTTGAAACCAGATTTTTCTTCACATAAAGGAGTCATGTCAAGAGTTGCTTTTTGTTTCTTCGCGGCGTTGGTTTTGTATCGTCCAAACCGTGCAGCGTCAGTCCCTCCA